CCTCGCCTAATGCATCCCAGGACTGCATTAGCTTTTTTTCACGGCCACGTCACATTGCCGACTCATAGTCATCCTGTGATCCACCAGGACTCTGAGGTCCTTCTCCTCTTCCGTTACATCCAACTGATGCGTCCCCAGCTTATAACTAAAATTCTTGTTATTTATCCCTAAATGCATAACCTTACACTTCTCACTATTACATTTCATCCTATTACTATTACTCCAGTTTACAAGGTCATCTAAATCTCCCTGCAGGATATCCCGATCCTTCTCCGAATTGGCTATACCTCCCAACTTTGTGTCATCCGCAAACTTTATCAGCCCACTCCTACATTTGGTTCCGAGGTCAGTAACGAATAGATTAAATAAAATGGGACCCAAAACCGAACCTTGAGGAACTCCACTGGTGACCTCCCTCCAACCTGACAGTTCACCTTTTAGTATGACCCGCTGCAGTCTCCCCTTTAACCAGTTCCTTATCCACCTCTGGATTTTCATATCGATCCCCATCTTTTCCAATTTAACCAATAATTCCTCATGCGGTACCGTATCAAACGCTTTACTGAAATCGAGGTATATTAGATCCACCGCATTTCCTTTGTCTAAAAAATCTGTTACTTTCTCAAAGAAGGAGATCAGGTTGGTTTGGCACGATCTACCTTTCGTAAAATCGTGTTGTAATTTGTCCCAATTGCCATTGACCTCAAGGTCCTTAACTACTTTCTCCTTCAAAATTTTTTCCAAGACTTTGCATATTACAGATGTTAAACTAACAGGCCTGTAGTTACCCGGGTCACTTTTTTTCCCCTTCTTAAAAATAGGAACCACATTAGCTATTCTCCAGTCCAATGGTACCACCCCCGAGTTTACAGATTCATTAAAAATTATCGTTAACGGGCTTGCAATTTCTCGCGCCGGTTCCTTTAATATTCTCGGATGAAGATCATCCGGTCCGCCCGATTTAGTCCCGTTAAGCTGTTCGAGTTTGGCTTCTACCTCGGATACGGTAATGTCAATCCCCACTCCTTTATTCCCATCCATCTCGCTTCCACTATTCCTCAGCCCTTCATTAGCCTCATTAAAGACCGATGCAAAATATTCATTTAGATATTGTGCCATGCCTAGATTATCCTTAATCTCCACTCAGCTCCTGAGTGGTTAACCCGTGCACCCCCCGCCAGCTCCGCTCTGTGCTGACTGGTTCCTGTGTTTACATACGCCGGGTGCTGTCACCAGTTCTGGGCGCTCCGTGCTGGGCAGGTCACTCCCCACAGCTCTGCCTGCAGAACAGCTCCGGTGCCTGTGGCCTCACACCCTGCCTGAAGCGTTTGTTACACACGTCCCTGAGTTCCCAGCAGTCAGGACCCGGTAGGGACAGGGGGTGGGGGATAATAGGAGCCTATACAAGAAAAAGTCCAAAAAATTGGGACTGTCCCTATAAAATCAGGACATCTGGTCACCCTAGGACCCGGACAGATCCAGGGAGTGTGGGGGGTCCTGGTGATGGTTCTGCCCACTCCTTTTGAGTCCCTGCTGAGGTCTGTTTGCCTTCTTTGGAACTTCTTTTGGGCCCACTTGACCTCCTGTCACGGAGTGTCGGGGAGACAAGGCCCTGCACCCCTGGCTTCCTGCGATTCACCATGACTCTCAGCCAGCCAGTAAAGCAGAAGGTTTATTTACACGACAGGAATACAGTCCAAGACAGGTCTTGCAGGCACAGACAACAGGGACCCCCCCCCCCAGTTAGGTCCATCTTGGGGTCCCAGGGCACCACAGCCCTGTAGGGGGGCAGAACCCCATTTGGGCTCCCTCCATTACCAGCCAGTTCCTGAAAAAAACCTCTCCCCTACCTTTGTTCAGTTTCCCAGGCAAAGGTGTCACCTGGCCTCTGACCCCTTCCTGTGTTCTCATGTTACATGCTCAGGTATTCTCCGTTGGTCAGTCTCCCCTTCCCCAATGCAGACTATCCTAGCCACACTCCCCACTCAGCATTCAAAGACCACAGTAAGAACAGTCCCAGTTCGTCACATCTCTCCCTCCTTCGAGACCGAACTGAGCAGGGTCACTTTAGCCAGTGACCCGGGGAAGTTCGAACCTACCCCCGTTCCCATGGATGCCCCCGCATCCCTCCCATTCCTTGGTGAGAATTACACCAGGCCCCTCCAGTTTCACGCCCCCCCCCCTTAGGTCGGGGGTGCTCGATGGCACTCGTAGTTCACATGTGGGAAGGTTTATGCGGCCTGTGCCCTTTACCCACCCCAATACCCCTGGGGTTCCAACTGGGCTGTGGTCTTCTCCCAGCGTTCCAGTCTGGAGGTTTGTGATTTGGGATCGCTTGGTTCAGAGCCCCCCTTTTTACCCTGGCCACCC